CAAGACACAGAGGCCTGTCTGAGGCAGGAGGCCAGGCCTGACACCCTGTGCCCGCCTCGGGGCTCACTGCAGCCCTGCAGCAAGGGGAAGCTACGGGAAGGGCATTCCCTTAGCTAGGCACAGGGAGTGGCGGAACCAGCTCTGCTTCCCACAGGGAGCCCTCTCCGCTGGCACCCACGGGGCAGGCCCTGAGGAAGCCTCCAACAATGGCACGCAGGGAGCATGAGCCCTGGGGAGACGCCTCTGCTCAGGCACCTTTCTGGTGCGCCACAGTCCCATCCTAGGCTCCCCGCATGCCATGATCGCACTTCCACCCACCCCTGGAGCACTCAGTTGATGCTGAGGAACCTAGGGAGCCAATTAGCGCAGGAGAGATTAACTGGGACTCACCTGGAGCCTCTTCATGGCCTCTGAGTCATGGTCAGCCTTCACCTTGCAGGCCACCAGGAGCTGCGCCGTGGAGGCAGCCACCTGCTTGGCCGACGAGATGAGTTTCTCTTCGCTGGCGTGGCCTTGCACTGCTGCATTGCTTCGCACGGGTTGTTGGTGGCGGCAGCCACCATGCGCGCCTGCAGAGAGAGCGTAGGAGAGGGTGTGGGAGCCTCCTCCTCAGAGCTTGTACCTCCCATGCAGGCAGGAGGGCACGCGATAGAGACCAGCACCTCCCACACCATGACCCAGGTGGTGGGAGTGGGAAAAGGGGCTGCGTATTCTGTGCAGGAGAAGCACAAGGGCCGAGTGTCCTCATCTTTGCAGCGCAGCCTGCATGAGGCATCCGCCCCGTCCCGTGATGGCTACGTGCAACCTTGATACTCACGGCTGAAATGAGTCCCTGGGACCACTGCCCATCGTCCACTGCATTGGCCGGGATGGTGCCCACCTGCGAGTCGGGAGAGGAGGAGTGAGTCTCAGCGCCCCTTGTGCCCCTTGCTGCAGGACATGGGAGCAGGCAGCAGTGCATGCTGCAGTGTACCCAGGCTGCCCTGCTGCCCAGTGTCAGGAGAGCCGGGCTTCTCAGCTCTACCTGAGACCGACTCGTGTTTCAAAGCCCAGGAGCAGGAACATGCCCCCTAGAAACACATGCAGTCTCAACCAAAGACGACTGTAATGGAGAACGTGCCACAGCCTTACATACATCTGCCCTTTCTGCTTAATCTCTGCACCTTATCTCTTAACATGTTCAGCTTCGTGCCTCCAGCCACACAGGGCTAGTTTTACCTGTTGGCCCAAGACAGGGCCCCTGAGATCACATTTGTGGCAAGCCCTTATCAGCTGGGCTCCAGTCAACTGTAGCTGCTGTTTGGTCATGTTAACCAGACTAAGTGCTGTGTATCTCCACGATGAGGCTGATGTGCTGCCCCCTGGTTGTCCTCACACATCTCCGAACCATCTC